GCCTTAGGTCATCAGTCTCTCATTCCTATGATATCTCATGTCGTCAGTCGCTATTTCCATATCGTTAGCTACGATATCCTATGATGTTAGTTTTCATGTTGACCTAATGCCGCCTTCTGCCATGAACCCATATCCTTGCCTTTGCTTCTATTGCTGTAGAACTAGTATTGGTTTAATCACCCAAATTTTAGGTCTTGACGCAATAAAATTGAGGTATTCTATCGTGTGGTTGTGGTTGTGGCAAGAATATAGTCTCAAGTAGGTTAAACGACTATATTCGATATAACTACAACATTGCCAGTATAGCTAATATAGAAATTGTTGAAGCGACAAGTTGTCAAGGAGAAGTCTCATTGCTATTTCTATCGTATGCAGAAATGCTCTTTAGTTCCGATCAAAATCAATCTCCACCAAATAAAACGATCTGGATAGAAAAATCGAAAACACAATCTCTCATGAGAAAGTTGTTTTCAGAATAGCAAAACGATGTTTGCTGAGGGAGTCACGGGCAATGGTAAAACTCCGATGGTTTCGCCGGTGCCGGCTTGAGAATGAAGACGTGTACTTGAAGAACATGCTGATGAACGTACTGAAACATTGATTTCACTTCGCTTGCTCTAACCGCCGTGGTTTTTCCAGCAGGAAGATACTCCAATCCACCGAGCTAGGCTCGTCCAATAGTGGTGCCGACGCTTTATCAGCATAGAGGAGTGACTCTCCTGCCTTTCACATCTTAGCTATTTTGATTCATCCTTATGGTCCCTGATTAGAAGGGAACCTGCCGGGATTGCAGTCCGAGTTTGGAGTCCTTGAAAGCAACACCCAAGACTTTCTGGGAAGAAATATAGGAGGGTGCCTGCTTGCAACATGTGAGAAGATCGAGAAGAGACTTTTGCCTTTCATGGATGCTCAGGTGGGGGGGGGGGGGGAATTCGAAATGTGATTGTAGCTTGTTGTTACACATAATATAAGCTTACGTGCATACATTAGGTCGATACATATATTTTTTCCCGTGTTTGATCCTTATGTAATTTGTTTACATGGAGTTGGCATTTCGCCATCACGTGTGCATGATACTCTTTCATCATACTTGCTATCATTCACCCACAATGTATTCGCAGGCTACAATGGCTGCTTTCATAGTCCGCCGGCCGGGGCGGCGCTTGCCCCTTGTTTACAACTCTTGGACGATAACGCCGGATGAGTAGTCCCCGGCAGGCTCGCGCGCTCGCTCGCGGACTAGGAAAGCAGCCAATACCGCACAAATCCACTGTGGCAGGTTGTACCTGCGCCTCAGAAACGCACTCAATGACTTCTTTAAGTCCCTCCCGTGCTCTTCTGAGGGAAGCTGCCTGAGCGTTGGCATCGACTTGTGGATGGTAATGGTGCATACCCCTAACCAGGCTGGTTCGCTATTGAGACATTTACAAAAAAGTCGGGTGAAAGATATAAGCATCAATATAATAAATCCCATCGTCATTCTCAGTTTAGAAGCTTCAAATACATCACAATGAATAGGCCCCTATAAATTTGGTACACCCTGTATGATGCGCTCGCGTCTACCTGTAACGAGACTCGATATTACTTGAATAATCACCTGGAGAGAAAGCCCGTCTTCATCGAGATGGTCACGTTCTCCGCGCGGATGAAGACAGTGTTCATAAGATCGGTCTCAAACTTGATATGTATGTCCGGAAAGCGGTCTAGGGACGCCTAAAGCAGCGCTGGTTAGATACGTTGTACGAAGACCTCAAAATGGTTAACATCCACTCCGATCAAGCGTTTAATCCATGAGAGGTGGCGTCAGATATCAGAAAAGCCATATCAGAAAAGCGGACCCCGCGTACATGCGGGGCAGGCGCTAAAAAATAAGAAGAAGAGAAATACCTAAAGAGGCCGGATCAAATTTCGAATAGGTTAAGCATAGGGTAAGAGCAGAGCACATGCGAGACTAGCAGAGCTCTGCCCATAGGGAGCGGGACATGCAAGGAAAAGATGTTGCCATAGACAAAACCTTCTAATTTGGTTACATAACAGCCTAAACGCCGAGGAAAAATGACGGAGGCGGGGCATCTTCACAGAGCGAGCCTTACTTTCCACATAATTTCATGAAGTGAATCAACAACGGCGTGAAGGCCAGAAAAAACTGGAAAAGTGAGCAAGGCCTTATACGAGCTGGGTAGCGTAAATAAAGTGAATCTCAGCCTACAATGGGCAGGGCGCGCGTTCAAAAGAAAGCTACTTCTCGAATATGAGCGCTACACTTTTGAAAACGTTCAAGAACGAGGGAAAAAGTGGTTAGAAGATATGGAAGCTCTGTGGCCGAATACCCAATTATAGAAGCTTTGTGGTCCTTTACCCGAAGTAGGCGGGCTGGACTAAGTTAGAAATGCAGCCTGCTGAGCCCGCTGAGCAAGGTCCGCTTCGAGGTGGGCGGGCTAAAATCAGAAATTCACCACTCTGCTCAAAAACGTTCTGGAATGCAGAGAAAATTGCTAGAAGAAGCTAGAAGAAAGGTGCTTAAATTATCGCGGAGGACGGGGTTCGCGCTGAGTTGGGCCCGGCTAGGACTAGAAATTTGAAACTCTTTGTTCGTAATGCTCATGAAACCATCATTACTACATACTGTACTTAGAGGATTTGCATCTGTTTGTCTGTTTATCTGTAATGAAATTCGGCACTACCTGAAGAAGCAGCTGAAGAGAATCGACCAAATTCGAAATGTGTGGGGCTCGGCTAAAATCAGCAGAGCATGTATGAGCCTCAGAGGGAGCTCCGCTCACAGAGAGCGGTATCCATGAGAATGGGCGGTGAAATGAGGAGAAGTTCATAATTTTGTATCAGAAAAGCCTAGATACCGTAAGACGGGCGAAGGTTAGGACGAGGTCAACGAAACAGACGAACGAGCTCATACACGGTGAGCGGAGCGACTTCGAACCTTTTACATCGTACTCATGGACAACTGCAGCCTGTAGCCAGATTCATGAGGGGTGAAGCTTAGATCAGTAACTCATCTCTGTTTTCTGACGCTTTCTCTGTTGTGACGCGCATGTTAGTGTACAAAGCCCAACTGGCGAGAAATGACTCCCTTAACTTGGATCATTACTACTATTTGCCAGTATGAGTTTCGTGGGAATAGTGCGATACTCCCCACGCGTGGTGTCGGAAGTGGCCTAACCTCTTCACAAGTTTGATGAACAGACTTTATTACGCTGACGTTTTAACGAGGTTGTTTCACTAGAAACCTGAAAGTGTGATAACTAACTTGCTAAAATCCTATACTATTATACTGGTACTAAAAGTACCTGTCATGTAAAGTCCAACTCGCACTATGGCGTACAGATTATCTACCGTCTTACTGAAGTTTGATTCACAGCAGCAAGTTTTTAAAGATGAGCTACTACCATAATCCCCTGATTCGCACAAATCTGTTGAGTGAACCTGTGATAGTTTTGATTTTATTCAAAATTTTCGAGGAGAGACCGACCTTATGTGAGTTTTTGCCTTGTGCGTGGTTGTGAGGGACTCTTCATTTGTTTAATTTTTGGGTCGTTAACATGTATACTAAGTGTTTCGAGTAATTGTGATTTTCGAGAGACCCCCACAAAACGTCTTACCAGAGGTCTAAGAGATCATGTCAAGGGTCTTCAGCAAACTCCATGACTGAGCATGAGCTTTGAAGGTGAGTCAATGTGTATCAGAAGCTCCTCTACTGTAAGAGGACGTCGACATCAAGTGACCTCAACATTGTTCAGGGTGAAAAGTAGATGTCCTATGAAAATTCACAACAGAAATCGCAAAGCCTACCAGTGGACGTAAGGCCACAGCTCGCTACAGAGTGAGGCGCTCTTGCCAAGAAGAACATGAGCTCATTCTTCCTCTGCCCAAGCGGGTGTTTTATTATGAGACCTAAGAGAGTCTTCTGCGGTGAATGCAAGAGTATTCTTCGAGCAAGTGAGAGATATGGTGTTTCAAGCCTCCATTTCTCACCGATTACAAGGAAATTTCTGATTGTAATGGATAATGCTCGACCATTCCACGTGAGGGGATCGATGGAGGGACTGAAAAAGCTTGGTATAAGTTGTTCACCTTACTACCTTCATGTTCACCTGACCCGAACCCATACGACTGCCATATTTTCAAAAGTCTACGTGTTTGCTCTGGAGGAAAAAATTTAGCAATCGTCAGGAAGTCAAGTATCTAGTAGATGAATGGATTGAGCCGCGTTCCTCTTCTCTTTCTCAGGAATAGCATTAGTGCGTTCCGTTCGGTTGGTGAAGAGGCGTTGTGGCCAAGGAGGGTCACTATCTCGACCCTGATCTGACTTCATTGTTGTGGTTACTTTGTGTTGAAAAAACCGGCTGAGTTTTCTCAAACTTTCCGGACACCATAATGCATAAAATTGAGCATGAGATAAACGGTGTCGTACAGAAATTTTTATTGGCAAAAATTACGGTCCGTAGCAACGATTAGGATAAAATCTATAGGAACAACAAAGAGTAAACTTTTTATGTATTCTAAAGCTGCGTGGCTTCACTGCTTCTTGCTTCTTCCGATCTCGCTCGGCGTTTATTTAATCGACTACACGGCCCCGCTATTACCGGTCGTTGACGCATGGCAAGCTGTCTTCTCTGAAAGTGCAGGGTACTGTCAGTGAGAAAAAGTTGGCTCTCTACCTTATTCTTTAAAACAACAGGTATTTTTAGTGGACGACATACTAAAGCTTAAAAGTGGTTTGACCACACGTTTTCATCGACAGTTCACTCGCTACCTATGATGGCCATGGTTACTGGTTAGATTTAAAAATTCACACAGCATTATACCTGGAAGTTTGAATGATTGTTTATCTTTTCACCAGTTGAATAGCCCAACTAACGCCGACCTCTCCTTCTTCTCGTGTTCAAGTTGAACATTTGCCTGCGTCCTTCAAAATTTGGAAGCTCTGATTCAAGGGAACAGGAGCTATCAAATTTCAGTGGAACAAACGCACATCGACACCTTCGTGCGTACCCAACCCGCTATGAGCGAAGTTCTGCGCAAGTACTGTGTATAAGTTGGTTTGCTTTCTATCTATTCACTTGACTGCGTGTTTTTACTCAAATTATGCTTCGCTTCGCCCCTCCATTCCCTACGCCGGCAGCGGGCGGGACCCAGTTTAGTTACTTTCTATCACATACCATAAATGTCTTAATCCTGTCGCCTATACTTCTACCAAACGCCCCAAGCCAAAACTAATAATTTCCCCTCAGATCACGCTCCCATTGGGCGGGGTTTAGTCCTGTGGCCTATACTCAGACCATGTTTGAACACCCTATGGCCAAACTGACAATTTTCGCGCCAGCCGTGCCCCTTTGGGTGGAGCCCAATTTTGCCACCTACCATCAGTATTCTGATCCTGCCCCGGGGCCGCTACCAATTTTGAACGCTCTACATGGAATATGAATTTACTTTGAGATACAAATTTTCACACATGCCCCGTCCCCTGTTGGTGGAGTCCAGTCCTGCCGCCAACTTTAAGGGTCCCCATCCTGTCACCTGTACTCGAACCCTCTAGGTCCACGGGATGTGAAGTTATGAATTCCCTGTTATATAAACATACAGACACAACACATTGTACAGATTAGCGCTTTATATATAGTAGGATAGTTTCTTGATGAAGCTGACCTTCTCTTTTTCCCTATTCTCCTTTTTCTTACGTAGAATGAACTCGATTAGAGCGGTTACCATGGAAAGTACCATTCCACACATTAGAATATAGAAAATTCCTGCGACCTTTGACAAATTCAACGATGAGCTTGCTCCGCTATCCTGAAAAACAGCAGTCTTCTTTTATATAAATTACCTGACCGATACTCACTGATATGCCTTGATCACACTGTCCTCGATCGTACCACCATTTATTCTCCAATCGTTTCAGTTCGCCTTTTTCTTGAAGATAGAGAATCGCCAAATTAAGGGACCCCTTAAAACACTCATTCTGATAGGAACTGTTGTTAGGTTCCATGAAAAGAAAAATTGTTCTCGCTTGGCCCGATGCCGTAGTTTTCACTGAGACCTACTTATAAAACTTATCTGAGCGGATTCCCGATTTTCGTTGCGATTCCGTAACCGAGTGTGTTGAGGTTCTGACCAACTTTCATTGTGTTACAAGGCTTCCGACCTCCTTCATAGTTGTTGGTCGTTTCTTCCAACAGAAACGCATATTTGCCCTAAACAAGGACCCAGAATATCATTTTTATACCTGTAACTGCTGGAAAACATTGTCAATTCGTTCAAGGAAGTAATTTCGATCAATAACTCTCTTATTCTTGAAATATTTATCGAATTTAAAACCTTTCAAGAAGGATATTGTGACCCAACTTTTCTTCTCCTTCTCCCACTCCCTTTCTACCACCCTCTCATCCCCTCATCCCTCCTTATTGGAGCTAATGAACGAAATATAGAGTACTGAAGATAAGTCCTCCAAGGATGGCGATTTGTGGGGAAAACTTCAGCCTCGGACGGATCTCGAACTCTATTTGTGCTTTCCGGGCACCATGCTCTTTTCCCACACTACCGTAACCCCGCTTCAAGTCGTCAAGTTTGTGAGACAGTAACAGCACTGCCCATCAAAGTTAAATAAGCCAAGCAAATTTCATGTAGGAGAAGAGCTTTTGGCTTCCGAAACATACCTTACTTTTCCTGACCCGTTCGATACCTTCTGCATAGGTGTCCACAAATACTGATTCGCTCCTTGAAAATTACACAATTTCGAAAATGACTGAGAAATAGACCAACACAAAAAACCCTGCAAAAACGAACGAGCTGGAAAAAAGAGGATTCCGCATTTAGTTGTCGTCGCTCAACTTTTTTGGTTCATAACAAAATTTTACGAAATCGAAAGAGCAAGCTTTTCCTCTCCTATCCGAGGTGTTCTTTTTTGTTTCGAAAATTCAGTTACATCTCAGGACAGAAGCAGGGGAAGACCACATGCAAGAAACAACGAAGAGAGCGAAAACCACTGAAAATTCAGGTACTCAAAGGAAAGGTTCAGAAACTGACGCTTGATCTCTCAGGAATTTGTTGTGTTCATCTTGCATGAAATCCCACATCTTTTTATACAGTGGCACTGTTGAGTCCTGAGAAAGGAAAAATCATTGAATAGTCTTCAGAAGCCTCAAAACCCATGAATACCTCGAAGAATGCGGCTGTTGATCCGCCTTTGACAACTCCATAACGGATTTTATTCTGATTTGCGAGATCCTCTACTGATTCGATGGGAGGAGCCATTTTCTCTGAAATCGATCTCTTTACCCTCCCTACTCAGATTCTCTTAATAAGGGCAACCTAGAGTCAGGAATGCAGCAAGGTTGGCCGTGTATGACGAAACAATGATGAGCGTAAAGAACCACCAAGCGGACGATGCTATTCGACCAGAAAGAGCCCTGTAAGGAGTCGAATCAGGTTCAGAAAAGAAGAGAAGCTCAAAGAAGCTCTGCTAACAAACTTTGGAAGAATATCGGTTCCTTGCTGCATGAAAGCAGCTAGTGTGAACCAAAGGGAGTTGTACATGGAGAACTCATTCGACACTGAGAATTCACCGCGATTGAACTGAACTCGTTGCTCGTAGGGAGAAAAAGAGGATACGAGGAAAATTGTCAAAGAGACCTGAAAATCATCAAAAAATTCGTCTGAGATCCTCTGTGGTGTCTGTTTCCAAGTGTTTTTCACTGTAGGGCTGGTTACCTATTGTCTTTCTATAGTTTCGAGAATCAAGGAGCCCTTTAATGTTTTACTTCGCCTAGACTCTTGAGAGTCCGATTCTGTGAGCCGATCATGGCGGCCTACAGAACCAGCGCTACAACCGCTCATTTAGGATTGTTAGGACTTATTCAACGGGTGGGATCCCAACTTTGTCGTCGTTGTATGCTTAAATGATCCCAAAAATTCCCACTTAAACGCTATTCCCCTTCTAGAGTTCGATCCTGCAATATGAAATCATTACAGGTATAAGACGAATATGAGGTCTCTGATACAGATTCAGAAAAATCTATCTAGAATTAACTAACTTCCTGGGAGAAAGCTCTCACTCATTTGAGTTGCAACAAAAAACGAAGTTAATTTTGAATGCATGGTTGGTCCATATTGGGGGAACAACTGCTACTACAAGAGCCTCATACATATTTGTAGGGCCTGTACGAGACCGAGGTGGTAATCGGCCCTACAACTTGAAAGGTTCCTAGTAGGATAGAATGGTAATTCGGCCCCCCGAGAAGATATGAAGATTGTTCTATAACAATCTCACCGCTGCGTGCATCAAAATAAATAAATAAATATGAAGCAGAGCATCATTCTATAAGCGTGGAGGATTTTCATCTTTGAAGTGACGGCTATAACAGGTTTCAACTTTCTCGATACCTCTTTAAGTACAGCAAAAGGGTTAAATTGCTTACCCCAACGTAGGAACATACAGTGAGTATCCAAATGCGCATACCAAGCGGCTCCATGAATGAGAAAATGTTGAACTCTTGCTTTTCAGGTTTCTTGATCATGATTGAAATTCCTAAAAAGCAAGTCTCAATTGAATTAATACTTTCCCTTATTTTTTCTTCACAACGCAAAGACAGCTAACATACTAACCTGTCGTCATGAAGGGCTTGGAAAAGTCCACGGCTCTCTCTCGTTCTTGAGTGATCGTCAGTGGAGCAACTGCAATATCGGCCGTCTGAAATAAGGCTCTACTGGGAAGAGTAGGGCAGCCTTACACAGTTTTATTTCGTCCTCATTTTGATGTTTCAAAGGCATATGTCTATTGCATCAGTGTAGCCTGTTCTCAAGTAATGTGGTTGTCCAGGTTAAAGGTGTCCAGGTTCGATACTCTCCCATACCAATTGAACATTCATTCCTTCTGGACCGTAAGCTAATATCAGGCTCTTTTGGTAGGGTGAAAACACCGACTTGTACATCAGCTGGCCACTGCAAGTCATTGGATAAGCCAAATACGCGAATAGAAGTAATGCCGGAGTGCATCGCAAATACGGAAGTGATTTGAGTTTTAATCCTTCGCCTACTTTCAGATTGACCGAACATTCTCTTTGCTAGGAAATCGCGTAGTCGGTTTGCTACTGTCAAACCCGGAGATTCTTTCAACGCATCCTAGAAGCTCAAAAAAATGAGCTGCTCATGTGTGTCCTAATCACGATTCTGAATAGAACCTGAACCGGAAGATCGTACTAAGCAGAATCTTCAAAAGAAAAACCTTCCCCGTTCGAAAGGATTTATTGGCGAGATTAATCAATGAAGTAATCGTTGGTAGATAATATATACAGAAGCACACTTTACCTCGTTTAACAAGTATCCAAGCATTCCGTCCCAACTACCGTCCGCCTGACGTGCCCCGTACCTAAATATGTCCATCTTCTATGAATAAATAAAGTATGCCATGGAATCTTACTTGTTTCCATCAGACAGAAAGATTTCATATTCAAATCCAGAAATATTCTTTGCCAGCAGCTTGAGCAAGTCTATGCAGTAACCTTCGAAACGATCATTGCCTTTGTGAGGTACTTCACCCGGATTACTTCTTCTTACCATAACGAACGGCTTCACCTGAAAATGGCGAAGTTTTCAGATCTGTTGGAGTCAGAGAAACTCGAAGTGGGGGGACAATACAAGGAAAGGTGAGGTAACGTGTAAGCTGAAAAGCTTAGGGAATTTCGATCATTTATTTCCTTGCTACTACGACCAGAAATCATGCGGTCAATCAAACTGTTTGCAGCCCTCTGCGCACTTTGGCAATACCTATTCCCCCAGAAGGTTCATAAAGTTGAAGACCAGACGGGAACAATGGCGACGAAGAGGTAAGTGCATAACACAAGATCGAAGCGCTGTGAACTAGCATCTCTGATTCTTTTCCAAACAAATCTTACATTTTTTTTTGTATAACTCGCCTAAAATTACGGACATTACTTCGGGTCTTGCCTTTTTTTACTCAAATCCAAAAATGGGAGATACTCTTCAACAAGAGAAACACCTCTAGTGGTGGTCTGTGGTGGATATTGTGCAACGTTCATCGTTGTAGGAAGGCAATCGTGGTCGTGACACTACTATAAGTAAGAGCGATGTCAGCTAAGTACAGAAGGGTGTTTCTTTTCCCCCAATGCCGTGCAATTCGTCTATAAGTCAGCATAACCATGGCAATATCTTCCAGCACTCCACTGCCTTACAAATCCCGCCCATGTGGCAAACAACAATAACTTGATTATGTCGTATGCGTATGTGGAATTCCTAAGGGAAAATCACTCCAGAAGGCTTTGCACACAGCGTTCCAGCGTTACAAGAGGGGACAGTGCTCAACTAAGACCAGGTGGAACATCTTGAGAATGAACTCACCAAAACAGTGACAACATTCAATTTCAATTTCCATGGCAGAATGCCTTTCTCAATAGAACTCTTATTAGTTTTGTTCTGTTGTAAGGCTTCTCCGAGCAGGAATCCTTTTCCTTGAGCCCATTGAAATCTCTGTAAACACTTGATTCTACTCGAGGCAAGGAAAAATGAGTAACTCTCTAGGCTTCCCTCTTTGATGCTGTTCAAAGTATTTACTCCAGGTTTGATTTCGATAACCGTAACGGAATAGTTGGTGCGCCATCCAGTGTGAGGGTCAAACTGAATGTGTCCTGTGAGTGTTCCGTCGTCGTGGGTTAGGACCACCTAAAAACCAATCGAATTAGCTGAATTCTAGAAGGATGCATATCACATTTTTATTGTCTGTGTGGATGATATTACGAACAAATCTTATTCTGTGAGTTCAATGGTCTTCATAGGGTATACCGCTTAGTGTCATGACTCAATATTACTTTTATTTATGTATTTTGCCTATCGAATAGATTATACTGTTCGAGCTAGAAAGTAATAGCAACAGTGCTGCACTACTGGTCGTGCTATGTTCAAGAAAAAGGCTGATACAGTTGCTATCGAGTAACCCTGCACCTTGATGAAGATGAGAAGTCACTAATTCTGCAAACCTTTTTGATAGATTCAGCGATTCTATCTCCGAACTCGAATGGTTCGAACTCCCGATCTGGATTCTCTGTATCTTCGTGTGGCCTACAGTACAACCCTGGCAAACCGCGGTTGAACAGCTGGTGACGAGAGAAACTTCTGAAAATCATCACATGAGATCTACGGTCGCATAAACCCACAATAACCTAACAATCTTATAGTAACCAACTCTGAGAATACAGATAGACCATATTTTCTCAAGGTGAGATCGAGACTAGCCGCAGCAACGAGCAGAGCATCGTGAGCGAAGGCACTGCTGGCCTGCAAAGTGGGTGACAGTGAAGAACAGCGCCGTTTCGCTTTTATAATCAGCATCCCCAGCCCACGGCTTCAGGGCAAAGACATCCTTATACGATTTCTAAATACAGGACCTGATTGAAGTAGTGAATAAGCGCACCGGTAGATAATCGAAGGATGGAAATCGTTCTCGGTAGGCTTCTTCAAAGGCTTTCCTGTTCTGCCTGCAATTCTCTTATAAGTCAACCTAAGCAAGTTCGAAAAAGGGTTTCAGAAAATTTGAGATGCTTACAAAAATCTTTTGTCCATGCGATCAAACATCTGGAAACCAGTTATGTTTATCAATGAGAAGTGAAAAGCGGTCAGATCGACATCTTCCATTTCCTGAAATAATTCCATGGTTCCCAAATTCAGAAAGCGTGATGGAGTCCTTTGACGTGACCTCGCTATACCCTAATGTGTAGACTTTGCTATGCAAGCAATAAATGAAATTCTCAACTAACACCAAAACTCTGTTAATCTATATGACCTGTCATTCTATCATGTCATGACACTCCTTGAAGAGTGCGTGCGTGCAACATATTTAAATGGTCGGAATACCAGCAGATTAGAGGACTTGCGATGGGGCAAAGGCTTGCTCCAGTACTCGCATTGGTATTCACGTAGAAAATTGACCAAGCTCTTACAGAGCGTAGACCCATTTTGTACTGTCGGAAAATAGACGATTGCTTTATTGTGTTCTTCACCCAGACGGAGATGGACGCCTGCTTCGAATTGTTGAACCAACAATCGGAACATATAAAGTTTACACGGGAGAAACCGAACCAACTACCGGATGCTGCCCGTCGAACGACTTCATGGATCCCCACGACTGTTCGACATCACGACCTCTTCGTAACCTACATATTGCTGCTCTTTTGTCATAGTGGGACTTATTCCTGCGCCTGAGCTGTATTACTACAAAGTTTTATAAGCCATCGGGTCCTCACGTAACGTATTCCGATATCAGAACCAGAGTGTTGGAACGTGGATGACTTAAATTGGTAGGGGTAAGGGTTTGATTTTCGGCGTATGTATGTGGTGGCGCTGCCTTTATTAGCACCGCCTCACCCTAATAAAAATGATCACAGATGATAATAACCTGTCTGTGACACTACAAATGTCACAGATAAATGAAGTATAAAGAGAATCCGCACAGAAATGATATTCCTTTTTCAGTCAGGAATTAAAAATCATTTGAAAATTCAAGGAACTTGCCAAATTCGCGAAGACGTAGTGGTAATCCTTCCTGACAAGGACGCTCTCTTCGAGTGCTCTCAGAAACATTCTCATCCGATATCCACCTTCCAAATCCACTACCACATGCACTGGGCTGGAATGTATGCTCTCTGGTTCGAAGAAAAATGTGTTCATGAAAACCTTCGTACTGTATCACATTCGCTTCTTCCCCTTGGGAGACGTTTCCTTGAGAAAGTGACATCCGTCGGTGGAAATCGTTGAGGAATTCGCGGAAAAACTCCTCATCGGTAGGAGCCTGCAAGCTAATCAGACTATTGAAAATCTGCAAAAGTAGAACCTCACAACATCAACCTTGCAGCTTCTGCTTATAATACTCATTTACTAGGAACGTTCAGTCCAAATCAACTTCGACTACTGGGCAATGGGTCAACAAACTAATAAAGCTGTTTAACCAGTACTTACCCTGAAGTTGTCTACAAACAGATTATAATCGGGACTGTTCTCATTCAGGTATTCAAACATTCCATGCAGCGTTCTATCAGCTGAAATATTCACCTCTATATTCTCCTAAAGAATGGCATTATTACTGTGTCACTTACCGTTGGCCCCGTCGTGAATGTAGACAATGTCTTTCCATCCCTTATGTATGATATAATCTACGAGCAGGTGGTCTACCAATGGTCTAACCGAAAATGTCATGGGCGACCGTTTTGCATCTGCCGTCCTTACGTCGGATACCTCCCAATCTACCAAAGGAACCTGAAAATGGAAAGTGGTGGAAAAAACTTCAATCAGGCCAAGAAAATCGTCAAATGTTGCTTTTGGAATCAACTGAGGTGGTTACAAAAAGTAGTAAGTACTTCAAAAACTACACTATATGGCTTAAGGGAAGAAAGAGTCTTCCGGAAGTTTCTTGGCAGTACAGATTTTTTATACAATGCTCTGGAAGTTTCTTTCAGAAAGTTTACATAACGACATTGCCCACTTATATGGATATATACACATATCAAGCTCCCTTTTCCTTTAATAAGGGCCGAATCTCCCCGTTCCATCCGAGACGTACTCTTTATTAAAACGTATATCGAGTGTTCTGCCTTAGAGCACTTTTTCCAAGCGGTCCCCGCGCGCTCGGCCCTAATGCTACGAAGCTGGTAGCAAGGAATTTGAAGACGACTGAGCTTCGATTCTATTATTCGTCGAGACAAACTATTGTTCCAAACATCCAACCTCAGCTCTGGTGTGCCTTCTAGAGTGTGCGTGGGTTATTTTTTTCGAGACTCCAAGATTTTGGTTCCTTAATTTCTTCTTTCCCTATGCAAGCTTATTGCTCACATATGTTTTCTGGACTAATAATCTTCGATGCTTCTCCTTATTTCTTGATGTATTATATACACAAAGGCGATCTGGAGAAAGGGCACTCAATCGGTTCTAATACATTTCAGCTTTACTTCAGTCCACCAATGCAAGCGTGACGCCCCACCTGTTTGTTGGGACCATATCTCCAAGATGAAATCATACTCCCCCTCATACTCTCACTCTGTGATCGACGGCCCGCAATATTGCGAAATTTCCGGATTTATTGTGTGCATTCAAGTGAATAGTATTGTTATATGTATCATATTTCTGTGGAAACTTCCAGAGGTTTCAGAAAGAAGCAAAATGTTGCGAAATTCCTGGGAAATATAATACTTTCCGAATGACCTAATGGAATGCGACCAATAGGATGTAAAAAACGTTACATTCTGTTGAAGCTATCTTTTTCGAAATTCACAGTTCGTTCACGCTCGATGCTTCAGGGATCGAAATGAGTGTTATGCTCGAACGACATGCTACGCAGCGAGACAACTAACTAGTACGATAAACACGACACAGTTAACTAGAAAGCACGCTAGGAGCGATCGGACTTAGTTTTCCACAACCGAATGGAGTGGCATAGAACCTACATCTGGCACACTCGTTTTTAAAATCATTGCATTGAATTAAAATTTTCCAATTTTAAGAGGATTTCGAAATGGTTTTTCACTTCTGCGTTCTGTTTTGCTTACACATTTCAGCAATCTTGCCGATAGCAAAAGAGAAGAATGTACAGTCACCAACCTTCATTGAATCAGCGATCGATTGATAGACACCGTAGTTGTGAGTATGAGTTCCTGCCAACATCGTCATGAAGCCAAGTTTCATCTCATCGCATACTGAAATACGGAACCTTTAAAGTACAGCTTTTCAACCAAGTCATTTGATCCACCATGACACCTCGAAAGTGCACATGTTGCCGTCGTCTTTCCTCTCGAATTCCGACACGAGTTTTTCTTAGAAGGAGTTTGGTAGAGAAACAAGGGATTTTATTAGGGATTGACTTCTGAATCTCTCAGGTGTCGCATCTGCTTCAATGAAAGACAATTGATCAGCCACAAACGCTGCTAAAATCTTAATCGTCCCTATTTTCCTTTTGATATTACCTATCGCAGCTCCGAATCCAATGGTACAAACCAGAACTTTATATGTAAATAATAATTGGACATTACCAATTCGATTCAGGTTCCACATCATTGTGCTGCTCTGAAGTGGAGGAAGCTCGCGAATTCCAAGCAACACGTCGACAACAGCATCTGTTCTTGAATTGAATGTCCATTCAGCAAGACGTAGCATCTGACAATTTTCTATTAAGATTAAAAAATTTCCAGCTGAAGCAACAAGAATGAGGTTTAGACATTAATTAGAGCAACTTTTGATCTTTGGTTTTGATGAATAGAGCTCAGCAAAGTAAGCTCGAGCTCTTTGAGGATTCCTTTATACAACTGCATAATATTTCGAAAATCTACCGAGATTGATATAAGTCGACACACTCATTAAATTCTAGGAAATCGCAAATGTCTTTGTTCTCCCACGTGTGTATCAGTGTACAATGCGTTTTGATACCTTTCACCAGGGTTTGCTATTTGATTCAAGAAAACAACAACAACAGTAGTAGTAATAAATAATCGAGATAGGTGTTATTATAGTTAAGGAGACTCTAAGCCGATTCACTTGATTTGGATTCCCAGCCGCTGTTTTTTCAACCAAGTTTTTTTCCTCTCGGGATATTGGAAGATAATTAATTTATTCGGCGCTGCCCCCGGTCCGAAAATCGCTCTGACTACAGAGCGTTCGACTAAAAGCTCCTCATCTACTCACCGAATTCTTTAGGGATATCGCATTCCAGACAATTCTATATTTTTGAGAAACCCGAAAGGTGCCGTTTAAGATAATTCGTGGTACCCTCTGAAGTTAAAAAGCGGAAGGAAATATTGATAGAATAAATGAAATGAGAGGTAGAAGGAAGCACATTGAAGAGAGCGAGAAGTTTCGCATATTTCGATTTTTCGTTCTGACCCCACATAGGATTCGGGGAGGTCAGAGGTTCGTCTCAGTAGGAAATCACGAGAAACATTTTCATCGTGAATTGTGCCTTCAAGCAACATGTCTTGGGACGACAAGCGGAGCTGAAACCGATATCGACACCTCATTCGCTTCAATGTTTGTGCGTTTTACTGTTATGTCATGGTCGAATTGCGCATTTAGTTGCCAGGCCGCTATGGATCATGGTGACCGATATCTGGAGCTACTTTTAAAGAAATTATGAGAATTGGAACTAAGAAACTCTCATAAGTCCAACGCCCGATATCGGCACTTCGTCTCGAGATCTCAAAAGTATAATAATAATATGGCGGAGTTGGGACAGTGGACTTCGGTAGCGCTCAAGGTTCTCGATAGCATTCAAGCAGGCATAGTGGGGTAGAAGGACCTGTTGGCTCGTGACGTCAGGCCGTGTCACTGTAGTTCCCGCGTAGGCAGATCAAGCGCCATGATCGCGCGGGAAGTGACTTCATATAAGGACAGGAGAACGTGAGAGGAGTTCTCCATTCGTATTCTTCTTCTTCCTCATCTTTTTCCACCATCATTTAAAATGTTAGCTATCTGAATAATTGTTCGTTTCTCAATTAACACGCGTCGCTAACTTGAAGATAAACGTTTCTTATTTAATAGTTAGCACTTGAGAAGTCTCGCGTCTTGGGGCGCGTAAGAAATATAAATCGCTTGGCAGGAAAACTATACGCGTGCAACAAGAGATCCTCCTCCGCCTATCCTTTAGTCCAAGTAGTTCAATACTGAATCGCTCCCTCCCACCGACGGATCTTTGTAATGGTCGACTCTCCATTCAGCGAGCTTATCAGCATAGCTTTCGTCTCCTTGTCTACGCTCCCAGAGTATCGCAATCTGATAACCACCTAAAAAAGCGGTCTTGATTTGTGTCGGCTAATGTATATAAGTGCTGCTTTTCGATATAGGGAGTGCATTTCGTCATCGCAAATATTGCCTCGTTACAATATCTCCTGAGGACCATGATATTTCGTCATGTCCTCAGGTAGCGGCGATGACTACGAGGTCACGTGGACAACGCTATATAAGANGTCCTCGTGAGAGAGCCATCAGTCCAGGTTTCAATTCTCTCAACGAGTTGAGCTCCACCCACCCGACCCTAATCTATTTTCAGGACCACTGTGGAAGGAAGCAGGTACACTGTGTGAGACTGCTATCCAGTGCAAACTTCCGCACCTAGCAGATGCCATCAGATATTCGCTCAACAGTCACCGATCTAATGCGTATTCGCAATACTGTAAGTAGTTCGTACAATGGTGGGGAGCGGAAAGAGTCAAGGACATACCCATTCCGAAGGCGAGGAACCTATACTTGGCTTACTGCATTGAAAAAGGACAACATAGCGCGTTACCGATGGTCTCGGCAGCTTTAAGTTTCTTCCTGGGCTTCCAGAAAGATATGAATAAAGAATTAGAAAAGTCTTTATTAGAAAGTGCAATGAGGAGCAGGGTACCAGTCCACCACCGGACCAAAATCAGCACGACAGATTTTAATAGTTTAGTACATTCAGGAGCACTATCTTCAGATCCCGAAGCATTTTCCACGGTGGCCCTGGCTATACTGCTCTTCAGGAGTTTCCTGAGACTTAGCGAGGATAGGAACCTCGAAGTATTTGATCTCTCCATGGGCAGTAATACATATTCAGTGTTTATTCGGAAATCTCAGACAGACCAGGCAAGGAGGGGGGGCCACCGTTTCGTTCAAGATAAGAGGAGATTCAGAGGAGCATACAGTGATTCAAAAACAAAAGGAATACGCGACAAAAATCAACAGCACCCATCTTTTTCCATCAAAGTCAACAACCATGCCCCTCACCCAATCTACTATTTCCAAAAGATTACAACAATTGTTTATTATTGCAGGTATAGGACACAAGAATCACACTACCCATAGTTTTAGGGGAGGGGCAGCTTCCATAGCATTAGAGCAGGGGTTCGACAGTACCCAGGTGATGCAAATGGGAAGACGGCGGTCCCACAAATCATTTCTGGCCTACATCCGTACTACGACCGTTGAACTGGATCTCCACAAATAACTACTGCCATATCATCGCATCTTCATAAGTTTTCACGCAAAATCCTGTTGAGTTGTTCTTTTCGTACACATGTTCAGATTCCTTGTTTAAAGTGAAATCTACAAGATGTATATATCGTGTCCATGTTCCGTCATTAAATGAGACGTAGCACAATTGTTGTATCATGTTCGCACAATTTTGTAGTGCTGATTTGTATGTATATGCATCTATTAATGATACCTAAGTCGCATATTATGAGACAATAAACCTTCTCCACACGAAATGCTCTTCTCCGTTGTCGAAGAGCAATTTATACAGTAGTGACGTAGGAACGGATGTATAATATACTTAACCCTTCACAGATTTCATGGATATAGAATATACATGCTTAAATTCAGTGATCCAGAAGAATATATGGTATCTTGAGTCGTCTTCTTAAGCATTTCTTCGGATTTCCAACACCATACTCTTAGATGCTCGGTAACGACAGAAGATTGTGCAGACTGACAAAAGTGATGAGACCTAGCAAAGCAGCGGACTCTGCGACTGCGCAGGATTTGTGCTGAGGAGAAGGAGAAGACGACTCTAAACTTGCTTGAACTCCATGAACCTATCGAAAACGTTCATCTAGAACCTTCGAAGCGCATCAGCTTTAGCAGTAGACACAAAGATTTGCGAAACTCCAGAGAAGTGAAAAATCAGAGTGAAAAGAATGAGAGGAATGAATAGCTAGTGAAAAGTCCTTGAGAAGTGAACGCAAAAATAATTTTAGCCTAGCAATAAACACGATGACGTAGTTCCTATTGCCTGATCCCGATGCTCCTTGCATACATTGTTGGTGAGAAAGTCGGAAGTAAATCCCCACCTCAATAATTGCATGGGCTGTAGCGTTGTCCGTTTCCGAAACATCCACAAATGCACCTAAAGGAAATGTTTGATTGACGGCGATGCACAGAGAAAAGTCAAGAGGTCTCACGCAAAGGCGCTTTTCGAGAGCCGTAAGTGAACGTGAAAAACAGCTGCAGCACAGCGAACATCCGCCAGCCCATTTTCCTCATCACATTTTCGATTTCTTAGACAGACATTCGGAGAAATTTATGGAATGGGTAGATTAAATGCTGAAAAACCTCGTGGAAGTCACGGCTATCACGGAACTCGTAGCAAAACGTTACAAACTCAAGGTAGCAAAGATAGAGTTCTACGGAAATCTCATTTACTATTGAAATTCAGTGGGTGTGAGGGTGAAGGTACTGGATGGGAGGATGGGTATGCCAATGCAGCAGGTGGATGCGCTCCATCGACTAGAACGCCAAATAGGCTTGTCAGGAGCAATTTGCTCCAAGTGGGTTCTGATCCCCAGAGAATCCACAATTGGCAGAGCGAATGATGAGGTTCTGCCGACACACGGGCGCATTTCTTGCTACGTCTCCAGGCGACATCTATCATTACCTTGCCGCCTCCATCGTATTTTTGAGGCAGGTATTTTTATGGAGACCGCTCATTTCAAGTCCAAGGGGAGAAAAAAAGAAAAAAAGAGAAAATCCATCTGGAAGGAAAAGCGATTGGTTGCAGTATTCCCCATACATACGTGTTTACAGTGGCAAATTTAGACACTCGTCATCGTCTAAAAACGAGAAAAAACGCCAGTATTTGAAGGGTCTCCATTAGAACACTTGTGTTCTGTTGACGGGGTCTTCTTACTGCTGCTGATCTCATGAAGAACTGGGTTACATTATAATAGAAAAGTGGTCTTTTTCGGTCTACATGGCCAAAAGGATGAAAATGGCTCATACTCGCACATTCCACCCCATCGAAGGGCTATCTATCAGGGATAGAGAAACATTCCTTCGCTTGCAAATCATACGTGCGTTCTCTGTTAGAATCTAGCTGTACGGTCTTCAATTCCTCAAGAGGAAGGCATATATTTGCACCGGAGAAGGTTCAGAAAATTTCTCTTGTAAACTGTTGATTCGGCTCAGTGATTTCCTCTATGACAAACACCAAAACTGCAATTAGGAAGGAGTAACTGGTGTTCAACTCTTCAATCGAGAGATGAAATTTTTGATCTTTGTTCAATTCACAACATGATGTAGGGTCCATCTGCTTCCAGTTTCTGCAACGTTTTCAAAAAAGCCACGAGCACAGGAGAAATGTTCAGTGCGATTCCTCTCAGTCATCCTAGGACTACTTTGCGAGCCAAAGTTTTTCGTTCGAG